TCGGTTGGCAGTGTTTCGATGTTGGCGCGAGCAGGGGGACAGAACACGACAAAACACGAGGGCCACACCGGCACTTCCGATTCTGCACTTTCGATTCTACAGTGAGCATCAAAACAACAAGATCTACCTGGATCTTGAAGAGCTCCCTACGCCGAACTTCAAAGGCCTCCGCTGTTTGACACATGCCCGGAGGGTACCTAGACCGAGTTCTTCGTCTCTTTCGAGGGCAACAGTGCTCATGGCGGATATAGCACTAGACAGCCTCTCTCGCTAAAGAACATTTGTTGGATTTCTCCGCGGCTGCAGCACAGCTCGCACGGCAGCAATTTAAGCGATGGATCAAAAACGCGTCGCTGCGATCTCTCAAAGCATTCTGAGCTGCCATGCCCCTGCAGACATGCGATTCTCCAGGGAAAACGGTCATGCACGAAAAATCCTCGCCACTTCCCCAAAAACCAGGGAAACGGCCGCACTTCTGCTCCAGCCGTGCCTGGTTGAGCTTCGACTGTGAGGCCTCCAGACAATGACACCTTCAGCACAGTCCTCGCTGCAGACTCTGAAGAGCTCGGAACAATAATCCACATGTGCACCCTAAAACGCACATCTGATGAAATTCTAGTGGCTCATCAACCAGCTTCCACGCATGCAAGCCCCAGGATTTATCCTTGCATCGCCACTTTGTCGTCCTGGTCTATGCACGTCTGCTCACTGGTCTCTTCTGGACCTCACATTTCCATCGGAAGCCGCTCTCTCACCGTCATTTCCAGTTCGACGTGGCGGGCCGAACTCCTAGAAAATTGAACAGGGATGTCGGGCTGGTCGGACTGCACAAACACCAGTGAAGCTCGCTGTCCTGCCAAGTACTCCGCGTCTACTTCGATGAAGCCCTTGTCGCTCCACCAGTTTTGCAACAGGAACCGGTCCTGGCCGCCGTCTTTTCTGTGGCCGACCAGAACCATGGCATGAAGGCCGACTTCATTGCTGTTGTCTTGGCCGAAGTACTGGTGGATCTTGGCGTCCAGGAAGTTCTCGGTGACCATGAAGCCGGATACGAGGGCGGGGCCGAACTCTTTGAGGTTGCTGACAATGCGTTTGATAATGGCCTGCCCGACAATCTCGTCTACCAAAGATCTGCAGCTGAAGTCTACGACTCCCGAAGAGTTCGACAAAATCTCTCTCAGGAACGCCTGGCTGGATCCGCCTTCGTCTCTGAAGATGTGGTCCTCCAGCTCCTTCGCGGTTCTGTACTTTCGGATGTAGTCTGCCAGGTCCAGCATCTTGCTTGTGCCGGTCGCCTGCATCGCTACGAGGTAAGCTTGCAGGACAACTGGGGCGTGCATGTAGCACAGTCCGGAGAGCTGCACACGCTCCAGCAGGCCGCAGCTTATACGCCCATCATCGCGGAACGCCACATAGGACAAATTATCCCGCCACGATGGGAGTAAGTTCAGTAAGCGAGTGAAGGAGTTGCTGTCGTCCAGCACACTCTGGCTGTGTTCGCCTTCAAGCACCAGGCGCCTCAGGCGCTGCTTCGACTCCTCATAGATGTCGTCTGGTAGCAGCAATGCTGCGAGCTTGGCTTTTCTTGCCTCTGATACTTCTTGCCTCAAGACGCCCTTGGCGTAGAGGAACAGCAGGATGGTCCCCCGTTCATCGAGCTCCGTCGGCAGGCTTTGCCGATCTGAACGCATTAACTGTGCCCCTGCTTCGATGTCTAACATGCTGAGGTTCCAATCCTCCGCCTTGTTCAGCATGTGCTCCTGAACTACTGCCAGTTGCGTGTTCTCGGCCTCCGCACCCGGTCCTCTCCAAGCGCTTATCCACGCGCTCCACGCGGCTGCCCGACGCTGCAGAACTTGGGCTGGCTTCTGCGGTGAAGGCGCAGTGCGAGCCCCGCAAAGGGCTAGCATGGGCGGGGGTATGGCCTTCGACGTCGGCTGGCGCTCTGTGCTGCCTGCGCAGCCTTTTACAGCAGTTTTGGCGAGTGGACCATCGACCGCGAAGACCTGAGACGGAAGCATTCTCCTGCTGTGCACAAGGCATCGTGACGCCATGGCACACGAGGAAGCCTAGAAGATCGCAAATGAGGCAGTTCGAAGTGCAGGCTGCGCAGGCGCAGGATCCCTGACCAACAAAGTGCAAAAAAGCTGTCAGCCACGCTCCACCCAACTGCCCGTCGTTGCCGGAGCCGGCAGGCCTGATGAGCGCCACACACTCAACGCCAGCAGCTCGAACGGAAGCCAGAAGCCTGGAGAGAGATGGCAGCTGCGCGAAGGCAAGAATCGGGCGAGCTTATGAAAGCTTCACAGCGGCTAGCTTGTCGAACTCAGAAGATCGCAACACTGGCGGAGGAGCAACGGCCACAATAGTAGCCTAAAACCATTCCCTATAGCACGATGGATACTCGTGTTCCTCCATGCATACCCTGGCCGTCCCGTAGGGACGCCACTCGCCGTCTAAGGGGCGAACCTGTAAGTAATCTCCGCATTCGGCGGGTAAGGCCTTCCATGCGCCCTGGTCCTGCCGGGGGAGGAAGCAGGAAGCAGGGGCCCGGCATGTTGGCACCTACCCTACCCAGCAGCAGTCATACTCAAGCCAAAAGCTATCGCGCGCGTGACGTCCAAAGTAAATGTCACGCTTAGCATGCGCGCCGTAGGTGCTCGCTACGCATGACAACGGCCCATTAACCCTAGACTCAAAAGTTTAAGCCAAACCCCAAATCCCCCAAGGCTAGCCATAAACGAAATTCCCAGCAAAAAAACCGCTAAGTCAATCGGCCAAGCCGAAAATTAGAAGCCAAAAGCCGAGCCGAGTCTGCCCCCGCCTAGGGCCGGGCCTGTGGTGCGGACAATTGCATATGAAAAGATTACAACTTCGTCATATCTTGGTCCTGGATAATATGACTGTCTTCATGCCTTCAATGAACGTGCTTGCTGACAACAAATTGGTCTGTCTGACGAGCACGAACAATGCTGAGATGGACGACCGCCCACACTCAAGACGAGTGAGTGTGTTTGAGCACATGTCGCCATTGCAATGTGAGCGTGAGCAAGCCGGCAAATTATGACAACACTTCACCGCACCTGCGCTGCCTGTTTTGCGTACACTCATGCATTCGCCCGGGGTTTGCTGCGAAAATTGAGGATGGCCGGTGCGCAACTGCTTTGCGCAGAAGCCAGTTTCGATGCAGACCGCAGAAACTGATATGAGAAACGATCATCTGTCCCAAGCTGGTCGCCCTGAGCTCCGGACAACGAGAGCTCAGCATCCGATGCACCAGTACAGTTTAAAGTGATTGTTGGTTTGGTCGTGAGCAGAAAGGCGTCAGAGAACAACAGCCAACTATGTCCACGTGTTGCGCAGGCTGCTTCCGTAAAGCATTGCAGCCTGGGATAGCACTTTTGGTTATGGCGTTGCCAGTCCGCTCAGACCCTCAAGAAACATATAGAAACGTGAGCACAGTCCTTGACTTTGTGTAGCCTGGGCTTAAGTTGCAAGCAGTGACCGTATGCTGTATGCCTTATACCAGTGCTTCAGTCCGAGGGCAAGTCAGTCTTCAGCATTGGGGAAGGGGGCAGATCGCTGAGACTATTCAAATCACCACATTCCATGTAAGGTTTCATTACCACCAGTAAGAGTGCCAAAGCGACCGTTCGGAGCCACGAGCACTCTGCACAAATTGCTTCATCTTCCATCGACAAGGTCTAGTGGTGCACATGCACCTGTGTAGCACAGTCTTCTCCCACGACTACTGAAACATGACGGCCCTGGTTGAGGCTTGATTCTTGACGCTCTGTCGAGAACTGCGCCGCCAACGTTTTAAAAGAGTTGCAGAAAGAAAACACTAGCCTGCAAGCTCGCGCAAGAGGATCATTGGAACCATTACTCGTCATCGACGTCTAACTTGACCATCAATGGCCTTGCTGAGACTGTCTTCTCTGTGCCCGCAAGCTTGCGGATCCGAATGTCTTCGGGCAGCCGGGGAAGTAGAGAAAGTCTGCAGCAGGACAGCAACCCTTCACCAAGGCGACTTAAACTTAAGGCTTGTGTAAGCGCAACTACTATACAGCAACACTGTGGCACACTGGGGGCAGATCAAAAAAAACTGCTTGGAACATGCCACGGCACCCGAAGTCAACTTTGACGAATGGAAACCGCTCTCTAATTGATGTTGGGAGGAAGGGCAGGCAAAGTTGCACTGGATCCAAGGGTTGAGTTTGGTGATCTAGGCCCTGCAGCTCTCTCCGCTATCCAGTTCGGCAAGGAACAGCGCGAGGTTCATCGGGTCCCAAACACATCCCAGTCATCCCAGCTGGCCCGACCTTGAAGCGGCCCCGTGTCCAGATGATGCGCAATCTATGGGGCAGCGGAAGACAACCCACCAAGTACGAGTGACCATCACAGGGACCCGGCCTTAAATCTGTGGGAAAGCATAGCCTGGCAATTCAGTCACATGCTTGTGAACCGCTACAATCACATCTGTCGTCAATGCCCTGTTCGATTGGTGCTCTCCGCAACAGCTGTCAATAACTACCTTGCGGCCCACTGCCGTCTTGGAGAACCGACTTTTTGCAACAGCCATGAGTGGCCATGTCAACGGCGGAAGACCTTCTCTGCAGTGACATGAACTCTACCAGCCTGGAACTGCCAGTGCCAAGCCGATCAAGACGAGAAGGACAGCCAACACCTTCTGAAGATGAGGACCGAAACTTTACCCAATGAGGAACTTTGGAACGAGGAGCTCAACTAGTTCAGGTATTCCTGATTGCGCAGGTCTCCCTACCAAGCGACGCTGTGGCTTGCAGCTGAAATCAGGCAAGTGAGGGTAGCCGATGACTGCACGCAATCATAGCTTCACGCCTGCTGTGGCGCAGAAACCTTGTTGATCGCCTGCGCGGAAGGGCCCCGAAGGGTATGTTTTAGCACCAGCAACAGCAGAAGCAGTAGAGGTAGCAGGAGCGCAGCAATAGCATCGGCAGCGACGCACGGAAACTTGTGTGGTGGCGGCGGTGGTAGCCACGGCAGCGACAGTCGAAATAGTACATGCACTTCATAGTTGCTGCACAACCATGATTATGATATCGTGATTGGATTTTACGAGTATTGGCATGATAAGTGTTGAATCCAGATCTAGGCACGGCACAGGCACGCAACAACAATGCATGTTAGAAAATCTGGTCCGCCTAGCAGAACCTGGTGAAGAAGATGCTGATGAAGTGCAGCCACGCACAAACGCAAACCCAGGCATCTAAGGACAAACGCAGTGCACCGGTTCCCTTTGGTAGCTGTTACTTCAAAATTATGACTGCCGTGCTGAAGGCCGGTGAAGCCAGTGATTCTCGAGTAATGCCCTACTGCCTACACTTACACAATTACACTCCTCGATTGGGCAGTTCATGGATGTGTCCAAAGCTTTGTGGCCCTACTGCTGCAATCACTCAAAGAGTACAAAACAAAGCTCTCAAGCAGTTCGCCTCTTTTGGCGGAGCTTCTGCTCCTTGCTGAAACAGTAGTACCTCGCAATCGCATTCTGCTGTATAAGGAACTCAGCGGAGAACCGGGCTTGCAGAGATTGATTCGACAAGATATTTGGATGGACAACTTCCCGAATCAGTGACGAGACAGCTGTGTGCAAGTCTTACCAGCTAAGTATTTCAGGTTCGGACCGAAATGCCGAAGGCCCAGTACAGCGAGGCAGCATCGCCGGGACCCTGAGCCACGTCTGTGCGCTTGGCCTTTTGAATGCTGTGTTACTGCTTCGCACCAGAAGCTTGGTGTGACAACACTTTTCCGAAAAGCCTTGACAACCTCTTGCATCCGCATGGGCTATAGTGCAAGTGTTGAAGGAAACCACTTCCGCACTGGTAAGGGCAGCACGAAGGTGCCGTAGAGTATCAGCGCGGTAGCTGCGCAACAGTCAAGCTCTCAGTCTGGTGGTGGATGTGATCTTTAGAATGCAAGATGTTCTGATTCATGTCGTCAACACTTTCTGAGCATGTGCAAACGAGCAAGCTATGGCTGAAAGGCTGTGAAGCACATGACGGAAGTTGAAGGCTTTTGCTATCCGGCCACAAGCATCTTGTGACCCTTATGCGAGGGAGCTGAACCAGTTTGCCGTGCACCCTTGGTCCTACTTTTGACACTACTAACTGCTTTCATCCCACCTAGAAGGCCGGCAGGTGAGGCGAGTCCGCCCAGAGCACTGCGTGCCAGCACCCTGAGCCAAGAGGTCCATGATCAAGAAGAGAGTGGGTTCTGGCACGAGGCATGCCCCTCGGAACAACTCTGTCTGGCTACATGGTGAGCAGTCACTGCCCAACTCTGTGCAGACAAGGGAGATTAGCGGCTCCGGGCAGACCCTGGAAGCTCTCACGCCAACATCCGCCCAAAGCTTTTCAAGAACTTGGCATGCCGATCGCAACACTCTGAAATTCTTTGGCTCGGGCCCGCCATCGAGGTGTCCTTTACGAGCCACATTCCACATTCGGTCAAATCGACAAATTGCTGCATCTCTCGGGGCTGCGCTAGAAACACGCAGGCGATCTTCCGACTGACGAGCATCAGACATCCCAAGTCATGTCCAGCTTTGGTGCTCAGTTGGACTTGTTCTCTCTCGGGCTCCCTTCAAAAGTATCACAGTGTTGCAAGGTCCTACAACTTCCTACCCTTGCAGCGTAGGCCTATCGGAAGCAGCGTCAGCGCCGTCATGATGAGACCTCGACACACAGCAGAGAGCTGCGTTTCATCACTGGTTCATGATGGTCCAGGCCAGCCCAGCCACCCAGCTCGATTATTTTGTTGAGTAGCCCGTGCAGATGTCGCAAATACTTCGCAAATCTGCCACCAACTGAAGACGGCAATTGCGGAAGCCCAGCCGTGCACAGCAGCATCGCATCACGCGGCACTGACGAAGCACAAACTGGAAGCGGAATCCCCAATCCTGGAACAAGAGACATGAGCACCCGAGAGAATCACCACGAGACTGCGAGTGCTTCAGACGGTCAGGTGTGAGCTACTGCCTGCACTCGAAAAGAGAAAAGAGAAACAGCTCCGG